TTAAGTGCGACACATTCTGAAACCCTGTTGGCATCAGGTCTCTGGGCAGCCTGACCATGAGTCATGAACAGTCTGTGAATAAAAAGATGCATGATTGTATTATGTATGATCAGTATTCTATAGTTCTGGCACCTTTTTATGGCACCTCTCACTGCATCACTGCATCTCTCACTGCATCTCTCACTGCACCTCTTACAGCACCTCTCACTGCACCTCTCACTGCATCACTGCATCTCTCACTGCATCACTGCACCTCTCACTGCATCACTGCATCTCTCACTGCACCTCTTACAGCATCTCTCACTGCATCTCTCACTGCATCTCTCACTGCACCTCTCACAGCATCTCTCACTGCACCTCTCACTGCATCACTGCATCTCTCACTGCTTCTCTCACTGCATCACTGCATCTCTCACCGCACCTCTCACTGCATCACTGCATCTCTCACTGCATCACTGCATCTCTCACTGCACCTCTCACTGCATCTCCTTGCTCCTGCATCTCTCACTGGGCCTGCTCTTCTGCCTGGGCCCCTTGCTCTTACTCTTTCTCCTCCAGACATTACAGTGTTTGTCTTTTCCTGTTTCCAAAAGCATTACTCTTTACTTTAAAGGCCTCCTTTTACTGTATAAGTGTCAATACAGTTTTTCTCAATTGCTAAAACACTAAAATCCATTGGCTGAACAAAGTTCTCAGTTGCCTGAACTCATTTAGCTAATTGTGAAGTCTGTTGTCAATACTGTAAACAATTTCTCATGGTAAAACACAATTTGCAGATCTCACTTAGACTTTTCAGCAAAACTCTGAACACATTTTCATTCTCAAAACACATTCTGCACTCCAATGCACATATCATCCATACTGGTAAACACAAGTGGCAACAATCAAATACAAATACAAACACATATCATTTGATTGAACACAACCACTCAAAACTGATTCAACCTATTTCAAATGATGTGACACAACCAATATTAGCCAGTTCAGAGAGCAAACTGAACTGAGAGGTTGTTGAAGGTGGAAGGGAGAAAGTCTCAGAATGGATAGAAAAAACAATGTGAGAGGACGAGGACGTATGCGAGGTGGTCGACGAGGAGGAGGAGGGCAAGAAAGAGGAAGAGGAGGAGGAGGAGGGCAAGAAAGAGAAAGAGGAGGAAGAGGAGGGCAAGAAAGAGGAGGAGGAAGAGGAAGAAGAGGAGGAGGAGGGGGGCAAGAAAGAGAAAGAGGAGGGGGGCAAGGGACAATATTGCTTGTGAAGTCGACGAAGTCCTCTGGCATGACCCAGGCCAAAGACAAGAAGCACATTGATCAAATGTTTACTCCTTTCATTTGTGTCCCTTACTTCGTATATATCGTAAACTGTAGTACAGTGCACTGCTGTAGACTATACAATGAAAAAATATGTTTTTTTTATATATAGAATTAAAACTGAATTAAAAAATATAGAGGTAAAACTGTTTTGAGAGCAGTGTTTGATTTTGAACACAGGTAAAAACTGTTTTGAGGCGAAAGTTTCATTTTGCAAGAGGAATCAGAGGTTTTGTAAATAGTGCTTGAAGATAAGGTTTTGTGTTTAATGTTTTTAGAAAATGGAGCAATGTTTCAGAAATTGTGTTTTAGCAATTGAGAAAAACTGTAATAGGAAAAAATAACCCCGCCACTGAATCTAAGCCAGACTGAAAACAGCTGTGGTTGGCCCAATTTACCCAACATAAATAAGCTGTGGGTCAATCATTCAATTGTTTGTTTATTATCAGCTGAGATATATTGTTTTTGAACTGATATCATTGCAGAAGCAGATGTTTTTATACTGTATCTAAGGTTTGGAATATTGTTTTTGCTATTTTGGGATGGTGTGTGTTAACATTTGAAAATACTACGAAAACAATCCATAATTTTGTTGGTATCCACAAGTTTCCTACGCCCCATGAGGCCTTGCGTCAAAAGTGGGCGCAACTTCCGGTTGGAAGTAAACAAAGCACGATTTGACATGCTTGACACTCGTTCATTCAACAGTTGACAGTCATTCAAGTTATAGCGATCCAAACTAGCTAACGATGTGGGAACACAACCTCAACGAAATTACAGTTTTTTCTGATTGCTTAAGCACATTTTTTGTAATTATTGGCTAGTTTTGCAAAACTCTACACACAAATGAGAAAACCTTTCACCCAATTATCAAAACATAGTAGTTCTCTTGCAAAAGCAAACACAGCTAGATTAACTCTTCACACCTTCGTAAAAATTGTGTTTTTGTATCAAACAGTAAACACAAGCCATCATCTACTAAGCACACAATGTGCCAACTACACACTGATGGTATAAATACAAAACACATCTGGCTTTTGCTGTCTCTGTGTACAAATGTCAATTTGAGGTCATACTTTTGTCATAGTGTCATGTAAACATACAAGGATACAAACTTCAAGTATTGGTGTTTATTCACACTCATAAAAACCAAGACAAAGTCAGAACACAAAATAGTAAAAAACAATCAGCCTACATCATGTCGCACCAGGGAAAATATCTCCTTGAATGCCTTATCCAGGCCTGACATGATGCCTGGTCAATATCTCCACATGCCTCCTCCATTGCTTGTAAAAGGGCTACCTGTTGATGAGGATGACGGTCGTACACTTTCCAGAACTCCTCAATGGGATTTACGTAAGAATGGAGAGTATGGAGGGAGGTTGAGTGCCATGAAGAATGTGTGGTGTGTAAACCAGTTGCGGACCAAAGCAGCCCTATGGAAACTAACATTGTCCCATATGATGACATATCGGGTATCCTCTTCAACTCCACATCCTCTACCTCTGCCTCCTTGTCCTCTTCTAGCTCCTTCCTCCAACCTCTTCACCTCCACGTCCTTTTCCTCCAACTTCTTCACCTCCACGTCCTCTCCCTCAGCCTCCTCTGATTCTTACTCTTCTCACTCTTACTGCTCCTTCCATTTTACTCCACACAGACAGCTTACCTGTGACTTATTTATAGTGCTTAGGCTGATTGCAAAGTGAACTAATTTTCTAAAACAGTTTTCACATGTGAAAGTGAGCCAGACAGTTGGCAAAATAGTGTTACAGTTTTTCTCGATTGTTTGCACACATTTTCTGAAAGAATCCTTCATATTCTCAGAACTCTACACACAAATCTAAAAACACTCACACAATTGGCAAAACCCCTCAATTCTCCTGCAAAATGAAACTTTACATTCAAAACAATGTTATTTCTTCTCAAAATGGTATTTTGTTTTCAAATGACACACACAAACCATCATATGAATAGGGGTCAATGACGTATAAGGCCTTTGAGAGGCCCATTTTTAAAATACTTGAAATAATAATATATTTGTCTATTTTCTAAACATGTGGACTGTAGTCTACACATGCATGTGTGTGAAAACTTTAAACAAAGATATTTTAGTGCTTTTAAACTCAAATGAATAGGGCAATGACCTTAAAAAAGTCATTTGGGGCGACCGCAATTTATCTTATAATTAATAGATTTTCTTTGCATAAGTTATATTTTAAGAAGTATCAGTAATTAATTGAACTGTTTAAGAAAGATATAATCATGTGTCCTTTCATTTATTGCAAATGATGTTAAATACATTTTTATCTATAATGGCAATGTCACCCTCATAAAGCAATTACATATTTTTTTTACTCATATAATCCATAAAACTGATTTAAAATGTGTAGATATAGTATCCACTCATTGATGTTATACCAATGAATTATATTTCAACCATAATGGACAGACATTATTTTTTGAATTTACTGCAGAATTGAATATAGTTGGTTACCCCACATGATAAATGGTCGCCCCACATGATGAAAAACAGCAGGCAATTAAGACTATTCAATGATTTTGATAGTTAAAACACATTTAATGGAATTTTATGAAGAATCAGCATATTTAATGAAATTTTATGAAGAATCAGCATATCCATTTTATTTGACACATTTCATAACATTAACAGTTTCCTCACTATTTCATTTGACACAAACCATCATATAAAAATTTTCAATACTAATGCATTAAACGCTTGGACAAAACATTGAACAGCATTTTCCTTTTTCATTTTCATTTCATTAATCACTTAAACATACAATGTTTGCATTTTCATTACTATTTTCATTTAACAGTTGAACGTAGCAGCATTCTGCAGACACATTGAACAGCATTTTCCGCTGCCTGTAGCGAGCAGTCTTTTCTTTGCTTGTTAGTGGGGCCATCTAGAAAAAAAAGTATATTTAAACATACACAGAGTTAGAAAAAGAATTGGAAAAAGTAGAATGAATGCTTAATATCACACATTTCTTTGATAAAAAACATAATAATCAAAAAGAAGTAAGCTTAGTCCTCTGAAGGGAAATTATTGAAATTTAGAAAAAATATGTGGTGAAATGTAAAAAGTTATTTAAAACAACTAAATGCATATAATGAATGTAAACATTTGCATACAGAAACTACAAATACATGATATGTGTTTTCTATTATTTAAGCAATCAGTGGCGGTCGCCCCACATGATGCTCGGTCGCCCCAGATGATATTTTCAAGTTTAATCAAGTATAACAGGCTAATGCTTAGCTATAGAGCCCAAGTTAGCTTCTTCTCACCACATATCACTGACAAATTTACAATTTACAAATTTAAAAATAAAGATTTGCGTATAAAACTTATAATTTACAGTTTTAGGTTGGTCGCCCCACATGATATCAAAATGTGACGTATACACTGCAGCAGTTTTAAAGAGGATTTGTTTGTAAAAAATGAGAGTGACAACTCACCTGCTAGTTGTCTCTGTGGGACCCTCACCATGAGGCTGGCTGATGCAACATCCTCTTTGAGATGATTATCAGAATATAAGTCCCTTATTTGTATTTTCTTGATGGTCGCCCCAGATGATATTTCAGATAATGAACATCTTCGGACAAGATTTGTTTGTTTATTATGATTGAAATGTGTGTACAAATGTTTCATAACTTTGTCAATCAATGGAAAACAAGTTTAAAATTATGCCAAATAGGGTAAGGATTATATTTAAATTATTTTAGTTTGATTTAAAACCAGTTATCCAAACAGAAGTCAAGGCCGGACGGTCGCCCCACATGATGTTTTCACACTTCAGGTGGCAGAAAATGCCAATAAACCAATTGTTTTTAAAGAAATAAGAGTGGGCATATGTATAAGGGAGGTGGTAGACATACATGTTATAATTTTATTAATTTTAATGTTTATTAATTGGTAAAAAGTTCAGTCGGACAGAAAAAGCAAGCGTCACGTCATTGACCCATAGACATTTATAAGAACCAGTTGAACACTGATGTGCTCAATGTAAATCACTATGATCAATGGAAAACACTTTCTTCTCCATTCATCATAATGACTTGGGCCTTTTTTGTTCAGTGTTACACTTACTACAGACATTACATACATAGGTGTGTGTTGTAAAATATTTGAGAATATTGTTTTTATACCCAGAACATACAAATACACGGTAACAAATATATTTTATTTTTCCCACAAAATCAATGGGAGATAGATCCCACATTTTGTACACCCCAACCAACACAAAGTCGCACATACAGTGGTCTACATACAAAACAACAGAATTTTATGCTGTTACAGTAAAAAAGGAAATAAAAAAATATCTATGCTGCATTCTCTCTTTGGTTTTGGTATTTTATGCTAAAGCTCTGATTGCTAATTGTAAAACTGTGTGACGGGTGTTTGCCCTTGTGACGAGTCAGTGTGAATATTTGAATGGCAGTGTGTTCCTCGTGAAGACAAGAGATTTTCTGCATGAAAATTGTGCCAAATGCAGAGAATTGTGTGTAGTGTTTTGAAAAACGTGTGTTTTGGAACTGCAATTCGAGTGTAAAGCAGGAATTGTGCTTGTAGTTCAGCAGAATTGGTTCAGGGGGTTGGTCAATGAGTTACATGTGGTCATTGTGTCTCAAGTACCAGAAAATGTGTGTAAACAATCGAGAAAAACTGTAATGATAGCCATACATATATTTAATTTTGCTAGGAGTGTGTTGGAAATTTGGTAATTGAGTGTAAGCAGTGAGTTGTGTTTAAAGTTCTGCAAAAAAGAGTGTTGAGCAGTTTTTGTGCTTTTAGTTTTGCAAACTCAGTGAGTGGTTTTGCTATACGTATTAATAGTTTTAGAAATTGTGCTACAAGAATCACGATTAGCGCTTAAGCATTCAGAAAAAACTGTAAAAAAGGTGAAATAACAGTACCTTTACCCTCCACAGTAGTTGATTGGGAGTATTATAATAACATTATTAATAATCAATACTCATCAAGGCATGGTGACAAACAGTTGTGCGAGCTGACAAACAATTAAAATAAAAAATACACACTTAGTCATTGTGCTTTGGAGTTTATTCAAAATTATAAATGAATGTGCTGCTTGAATACATTAACTGGCACATTTGGTATTCTGTCAACACAGGCTTTGATCCTGAGTTTAGGTGTAACATAGAGAACAGCCAAACACATGCTGATAAAAGTTTATAGAATATTAAGAATTTATGTACACAGGAAGATTCGTCTTCTTTTGGGAGGTGATGGAAACTACAGTCGTTGGCAGGAACACTTTGATTTCGTTTTCAGCTTATGTTCAAAACAATCACGTTTAAGCCACTGAACTAGTTTAGTCCGGCTATACATACAACCGCGAACAGCACATGTTGTCCCTGAGCTCCGTAACGGCATCTCTCATAAAGATTTGCGTCTTTAAATAGTAAAATAATTCTCCGAAAAACAGCTAGCCTCTTCGCTAACTAACACACAAAATACCATTGGAATGCTACTTCCGCCGCCTCACCGGAAGTTTCACCCACTTTATTTTTTACAGGAGCGCCCCTCGGAAACTTGTGGATAGCTTGTCTGTTAAGAAAATGTAAGCATTGTGGAAATGTGTTCACTGACTGCATATTGTGTGAAAACAACATGAAATGTGTGAATGGTATGGCCACAAAAGATCAATGTTGTGCTAATTGTGTTTAGAGTTTTGAAAATGTGACAACTGTTTGGACAAATGCTTGTTAGCGACTGAAAAAAACTGTAAATTACACAGGGAGCATTCAACAAGACTCAAATTTAACAATTTAACTCACCTCTCAGCTGCTTGCTGACCAGGGGCTGAGCCACTACGCTTCCGAGAAGCTCTCCAAGGACCTGCCAAGATCTTTCTCTTGCACTTAAGGGAATACTTGGAGGGGGACTGATCAATGGGATGCAAATTCTGATACAACGCAAGATCTCTGCTATCTCGTTGGTTGATAAACCAGTGATCGTGCGGTTGAGACTGACGAGGTACCCTGCCAGGTTATCCACTGCCTCCCATCCAGGAACACCCCTTGAATCACTTCTACTGTCCTGAAAATGGAAACAAAAACAGAATCGTGCATTATGAAATCATTTATTAACAGCTCTTTGATAAACCATTCTTCACAAATTACAAGCACCAAGTATTACAAACTTTACCGGAGCTGGTGTGCTCGGCCCAGCACAGGAAATGTCTATCAGGAGGACTGTACACGGTTTCCTAGATTATTTAAAACATTTTTAAAAGAAGAATAAACTTCAGTTACAAAACTGACAATTCAAAGTTTATGCTAAACAACAACAACAACAAAAAGGTTTAGCTTTAGTTTTATCTAAAAAAGTTTTATCATTAGTTTTTCTTTCAGTCGCTAACAAGAGTTTGTCCAATCAGTTGTAACATGGATATTTTGTTCACTGTAAGCAATACTGTAAAACATTTTCTGTTCTATCATGTGAACATTACTGTATCCAGTCTAGAAATTTAGTGTAAAAATGGTGGATTGCATATTTTTCATGCAAATACCTGTAAAACGGAAACATCAAAGTCTATGCAGTTTTTGTAATGTCAACAATAGCCAGTATTTTGAAACCTGGGGCCCGTTTCAATAAGGAGGTTCAACCAACTCTGAGTTAAAGCTTGAACTCAGAGTTGACTTACCCTGAGATGGGAAACTCCGAGTTTTCGGTTACAGAACAGCTGAAATGAGTTAGTTCAATCAACTCTGAGTTGACTGACTCTGAGTTAAGCGCGTGCACCACAGCTATAAAAAGCCATTATCAATGGAGCGCAGATATTACGAGTCACCATGGCAACAGCGCCAGACAAAAAGAGGTGTTGGGTATAATTAATTACCAAGTAATCTAAATATTGTAATTTAATTAAAGGGATTACTCTTAATTCTTCTTTAATTTAAAATAAAATAAAATATGATGCAATTACATTAAATAGGCTACTGCATAAACTATAGACCAATTCAGTATAAAAAAATAGTGGATTTAGCATACATTTTTAAAAGGTATATTTTTATATAACCTTCTCCCTCTACACACTTTGATCAATTCAAGAATAATTCATGCAATTGTATATTGTTAATTTGAAAGCATTAAAAGTGCAATTTCTTGTCTCTCCTCCTTGTATTATTCAAGTGGTTGAGGTTGATATAGGATTTAGTAATATTTAGACCAATACTTTCTAGAGATAGTAATTATTACATTAATCTAACTACACCGTTGAAGATGTCATTTGTTGTTAATAATTCATAACTATTTTAGAGTAACTGTTAAAATATCAGAGGTGAAACTGGAAGAATGTTATTCAACCTAAAGTAGTCTACTATTACTTTGATACATTTTTACTTAAGTAAAAGTAAAAATACCAGTCTAAAAAATCTACTCAAGTAAAAAGTAGTTAATTTAAAACATGAGTAAAAGTTGCTGAGTAACTTGTTTAACAGCGGGGGTGGGGTGGGGGACTCCCCCATGTGGGGTTGTAAGAGTTTCACAGTATGAGAACCGTCTCAGAAAATATCACGGTTTATGGTATTAAACAATTGTTAAATATATAAACTGCATTATTAAATTACAGTTATTATTTTCATCAGTTAAAATGACAGTTAAATAAATTAAACATTTGTTCAATAAAACATAATATCAACTAACTTCAATAATTGATTATGATTATGATTGACATCTTATTTTTTATAATGAATAACTTATTAAATTTTATTACAATTTTTTCAATGATTTAATAGAAATATATTATCAAAAACAGTGGTAATCAAATAAAAGTTTAGCAAATGTTTTAATCCTTTTATTTTTTGGCAAAGTGCTGCAAAACAGATTTAGTCAATAGGCCTTTATCACATTTCTTGGTTTGAAACATTCGAAATCGCCAAGCAGTGTACTCGCACTTCCGGTGGTTACTTAGTTACCAGATAAACTATGGCTGCCTCCTCTCGCCGGTGCTATTGCAGTGTACCGGGTTGTTCAACATCAAAACAAAGACAGCCATACCTTAGCTTCCATGACTTCCCAAAAGACGAACACCTCCGCAAGGCTTGGGTGAGATTGATAAGGAGGGACGAAGGTCCTTTGTTCCATATAAGTCGGGGTAGTACGTTTGTATGCAGCTTGCACTTTGACGAGGAAAGCATTTACGTCTCGAAAAGTGGGCGGAGGAGACTAAAATCCGGTACTACACCAAGTCGATTTTCGTGGAACAGCTGGGGGGAGACTCGTGTGCTTCGCCAGTCAGTTTTCGATCGGGTTAATGCGCGTTTTGAAGTAACGTTAATTGAAGAGTCACAGAATAGCGACTCTGCTATAGACGAATCCGGCGAAACTACCGGAAGTAAGCGGGCGCCATTACTGAGCTGTTGCTGGGTAGCGTTGCGCCATTGCCTCCTATTGTTTTAGTTGCAACTTGCGTCCACTGGAATAAACAGCTCGCGATTTACGACTGTCACTAACGTTACAACGTTAGCCCTTGTGTAATGTCGAGTGGGTAAACAGTTTCCGTTATAAATTGTTTCAATGGTGGCAGTAAAATTTCAATTTTGAAGAGAAAAAATTGTGAATACCCCGGGTCGACTGCCCCTGTCTGGTGTCGTACGGTTTACACAGATTTCCTGGGCGAGTACAAGACGCGGACATTCGCGTATAATAACAATTATTTAATGACATACGTAAAAAATATAATAAATGTGTGATATAGTGATCAGCAAAATCTCCTCTCTTGTTATTTTTTCTATTCAATATGGTCATTAAATGGCTTTCCTGAGCTGAATGTAACGTTATGTGACACAATTGTTCTCCTGCTGTTATATTGACCTCTTTCCATGGTTTAAAAACAGTAGTTGGTCGATATTATGTATACTTTCTAGCTGTAACGTTACCTTACCCATGCCCGTTGCAATGTAAAAATTAGATAAATAATGCACACAAATGAAAAACATGAAATTGTTTATTTGATTTCATTTATTTATTGTTGCCAAATGGACAGATCTTTTTTTAGTTTCCTCGGTAGCAAACGTTAGCCTAGCTTGCTTGCCAAGCTATTTTCATAAATAATCTGTAAGATCGTTTGTACCTTCATCTGTGACTGGAGGCCAATGTCTAACATCATCAACCCAACAAGTCTGCCTGGCTGTAGCTGTCATCAAGGGTGCGTTATCACCTTATCTCCGAGGTTTGTTTACATACCGGTGCATATGTCTATGCCGGTGTAACAGCTCAGTAATGGCGTCGCCACAAGATGGCAGCCTACACAAGAACGCTCGTCGGATTCGTCTATAGAGAACGCGGATGAACAGCCCACAGTCGCGGAGGATCAACAACCCGCGGCCGCCAGTGATCACAATTACTCCCGCGACTCCGCAGGTGGACTAGATGCTGATGCTGCTGCCGAAACCATCAGGCAACTGGAGGCACCACATCGTCTTGGCCAACTTTTGGGAGATTCGAGAGAGAAGTAGTCCAGCGATAACAGGCAGCCATTTCGAACGCAATAACCGGAAGACGCAGTACACTGCTTCAGCTATTTTTGACGGTTACTTCCGGCGTTCTATTTTGATGCGATAAAGGCCTATTAAACCATGGACAAACAATATATATATATATATATATATATATATATATTCCTTAAAGAATGTGTAAATACATTTTAGTATTATTGTTGGTGTTTAAACAGCACTTCCTCTTTTAAAAAGGGGAGGAGACCGCAAGAAACTCTGGGTTTACTGAAGAAAACCTGCTCCCGACCAGGTTAGGTTCACAGAGTAAGTTACCATGGTAACTGACTCTGAGTATAAGTTACCTCTCTTTCAGAAACGGGCTTGACTTACTCTGCTTTCTCGGGTTTGATATACCCCCCTTTCTGTAACGGAAAACCCAGAGTTTCCCTCATTTCAGGGTTAACATACTCAGAGTTTTCACTTAACCTCCTTTCTGAAACAGGCCCCTGGTGTACTTTGATTGACTGCATGTACCTTGTGAAGCGAAAACAAGCGTTATTCGTTGACAGAATCATTTCAGTTTGAGTAAGATTTCTAGTGTTTTGGTAAAGTTAGATGTGTTCTATTTTGAAATATAGTTAGTGTATATTTAACAAAATGTGTTTTTGAGAAGAAAATTATCCATTCGGCCAATTGTGTTTTGTAGGTGTGAGTCTGTGTTAAGAGTTTAATAAAAGTATCAGAAGTATGGGTAAGCAGTGCACTTGTTAGTGATTAAAAAAGCTCTAATTAAAAAAAGTATAAATCATGAAGCAACTCATTAGTTGCTACTAAAAACTAACATTTCTATGCAATTTTAATTTAAAATGATCAAGAAAATTGACATTACCAGAGGTGAGATCAATGAATCACCATGACTGCTGGAAATTCCAAGGGTGGGTGTGTCTAAATCAATGTCTGCTGCATCACATATTGTGACATCCAGACACTCATCCTCCTGAACTTCAACCTGCAACTCTGGCAAGGGGATTTCACGTTGCTCCAGTGGAGAAAGCAGGTCTCCTCTGTTAGACTGGGCCAGCAAATACTCCACAGCTATACGTTCATCTGCCATAAAAATTCAATAAACATATTGAAAAAAAGAGCTATATATCAGGCTAAAGCAGAAAAGCATGTGATGAAACTAGTGTTGCTAACAAATAATACATTTTTGGATTAACACATGACAAATGCAATTAAATAAAAGCCAAAATCACAAAGGAATTTCACAAACTGACACATCTTATAACTACAAATGGGCACCTTTATAGCAATCATCAGTCATGCAAACATGGAATCACTATTGCAATAGAGGGTACAGTGTTGAATATTACCGGTGGGTCTCCCAGGAGGTTTGAATTCTGGCAGGAGTGGACATCCAAGGACTTTGTTGCTGAGGACATTCATCTGGGACATTAAACGTACATTATACATTTTTGTTTGTGATGTACCACTCATGTCCACAGCTTGATGAGCTCGGTTGATGTTCCACCTAGATGCCCCCTCAAGCATGTACATCTGTGTATGAAGTGCATTACATCTCCACCCTGAAAAACAACGTTTCACATGATTAAAACACTATTATATAACCCCAACTTTTGGATCCAATAGACCTTATTCAGAGCAGCACCATGACAGGTGTGAAAGTGAGGCTGTGAAAGATACCGTGTTTCCAATGGCATCCGCTGTAAAAAGCTGAATAAAGCGGCTAGATTACTTAAAATTTTCCACAGCTTACATTGTCGGGAGTTTTTTTTTGTCAACTGACATTTCTTGGAAAGATATTTTTCCAGTGTTTCATGAGCAGAACAATCCGAAAACACATTAAATAACAGTACAGCCCATTGAAGAGATGCAAGTCTATCCCTCACAGCCTCGCTTTCATTCTCATTAAAACACAAAGATGGCGCTGCCGTGAATAAGGCGTTTCCAACACTATTTAAATATACACATGGTATTGTCTTATAATTTAAATTTACCTGGAATAAAAGTGCACTGGTGGCGATGGAAGCTTTCCAGGGAGGAGGACCCTCTGCCACACCTCAGCACATCCAGAACCTTGTCACCCTTCTGTAAACCGGAGCCCAGTTTTGTGTACAGCTGAACACCGGGTGGATCTTGGATGCAAGGTAAGTGTTTCTGCTGTACCTCCCACACGTGTGACATGCTCTCTGGATTGATGAGGCGCAAACCAGTGGTGTCGGTCAGTTCCCACATGGAGTCCAGCAGTCCTTGGATCAGGTCACAAGTTTCTTGAACTCCACGTGTCCTCCTCCTGCAGTGCTTGGCCAGCTCGTTGGAGGTGATGCTCGACAGGATTTGGGCCTCTGTTGGAATATGACCCCTATTTTTTTTTTAAAGAATGGTCTTTTTCGCCTCTTTAAGGCGAGAGATGTCCTCCTTGTCCCATTCAAACACACAGCTGGACAACTTTGAGCAGAAAGTGCCATACAATGGATGGTGCTCCGTTGTAAGGCCAGCTGTGAACCGCCGCATGAAGTGGAAAACATCGAGTCGCACAGTGATCTTCCATGGGCGAAACCAGGTCAGAACTGGAGTCACACCTACACCAGGGAGAAACAATGCGTGTATTTTTTGCGAATTTTTAGTGATTTGCATCATTAAACAAATATAATAATGCTGTTTTACATAAGCTTTTGTTTACTTGATTGCAAACACTGAACCAAGGTTCTCACAGTAAATTGCTACTGTAAATAGAAATTAAGAAATTTATAACCATTGTGTATATATTAGGGGTGTGCAAAGCAGCCGGTATTTGTATGTGAGTAACGCCACGCCCCCTTGTCGGGTTCTGATGTGTAATGACGTAGGGCTAGCCCATTTGGTTGCACATAAGAGGCACCCGCGCCATTGGATATGCAGTTGCCACAGCATATACATTACTCTTGTAAATAGTTCTTACAATTCTCTTTATGAGTGTTCTTAAAAAATATGAACAAACACATAGAAAAAGCATGTAAAGTCTCTGTCCAATAATAGTTGGAACCGTGCAGATCTGTGATTTATTCTCATTCAGAAAAATGCCTGAAATTGTTGCTAATATGAATTAGAAATGCATAGATGCAAACACATTCATATTAGGTAAAGATTTAATGTAACAAACCTGTCTCGCTGCAGCAGTCCCTGTCAACGTAGATCACAGCTGGTGTGACGGTCTTGCCTGGGCGGTCTTTCTGCTGGGTGGAGCTGCACAATGGAGATATAAATGTGGAAATAGGGGTTTCACTTTATGGAGAAAGAATCAGTTCCACAGCGTGTCTCATTATCTCTGCTCTGTTTATTTAAACAGTGCTCTTTCTTTTCTAATCTTTGCGTTGTGCTCGTATAGTGAGACAATTTTTCAGACTGACAATAGGACATTTCCAGTCAATTAATCACAAATCAACTCAATGAAATGATGAACATATCAATTAAAATAAATGTAAAGAGAAACATTCCCACCTAGTGGCGAATATACAGAATACTACATGAATAAAACAATTAATCCATTAAATGAAGTTTTGTTAATAACTAAGTTCGGGAGGAGCACGTTCAGATAATTAACACGAGTGGACGGCAATCAGCAATCAGCAACCAATGATAAGAGGGTATATATAGACTCAGCAGTCTTACCTCGATCCATTGGCAGTTTGCAGCATTTGGCCATGTCCGAATCTAGCTCTTCCTGTTTTCGATAGAATCTTTCGTCCTTCAGAATTAGGAATCTTTTCCGCAACCCGGTATCATTTCATGGGCGTCAGGCCAAACAAACGGGTCATCGCCACCCCGGGCGAAACATCCGCAATCTACTTCCGCGGTATCTTTAAACTGGACCATTCAATAATTCCTGCCATAGAGATATGGACAAGGCAATGCTGCCATCTTAACGCAAAGGAATGGACATTCCTCCAGCGTCGGCCGTCGCAACAGGCAGTAAGTAAGTTAAGCCACGCTGCAGATCCAGTCCCGGCTGATCCACACTCTCAAACATCTGCCGGGTCAACTTTGGAGTGCTTAGCTGAAAACTTTCGCGTCCCTGATTGAACTTCGCATCGCTTCAATCGTTGAATGTCGAGCATTTACGCTATCCGGATACTAATCGTGATCGATATAAATAGTTTCTGTACAATGATTTGCGTTCCTTAAACGCGATGCTTCTTTATGGCGTAAACTCACATGTAAACAGTAGGGCTGGGAATCGATTCTAAAAGAATTGATTCCTCGATCCCAAAAAGAATCGATTCCTCGATCCGAGGCGTTAGGAATATAGAGTCGATTCCAAAGCTTGGTTAGCTCCATTAACAGGAATCGACTCCTCTTTTAAGAATTCAGAAGTTCAGACCAATTCTAACCCGCAGCTTCACCATTTGGTTTACTAATCCAGAACGAACAAATCGGCAGGGAACGACCCTTAGAAATGACAAATAAATAAATGAGAAACAACGGAGCTTTTACACTAGGCTTGTTACGGTGAAATGCCATATATGGTTTGTATCCTGTGTTTGCAGCGGTCCGAGCGCGTTTGTCCCCGACGCCCCCCGCAGCGTGGGTCCGGTTCCACACCCAATTTAATTCTATCGAACCTTGGTTCGTTCGCGTGCATCTTATGTCATTGCAAACGTGCACGGCGCTCGATGGAAAGCAGAACGTGGGTAAATATTGTGTTTACTTATTTATTTTTAGTAAAATTGCTTCTATTATGCGCAGTTAAGTGAACAATACAGGTTTATTGTACGTGTGTCACATAAGGTGGTTTTCTGCTGCTTGCAAACGGACCCTTAAGAATACAGTGGATTTACAAATATGTTGCTCTGATTCCACGTACAATGCTCGAATACACTGCAGGCTCACTCTCGCTCGTATCCAGGGTAATTCCTCAACACTATCATCCCTTACTTATTTAACTGAATACATCACAATAAGCTAAAACACATGCACAGGATACCTTATTTCCTGAACAAGGGCGCACCCGAGTCCGTGCTGGGTAGTCAGTACCACCACCTCCTCCAGGTAGTCTCGGGTCCGGTACCCCAGTGCGCACCCGGGTCCCATAATGGCGTTCACATTAGCGATTTTTCATGCGAACCATGCCCCGTTACGGACTTAACTGCCAGGGTGAAAGTTCCCCAATCTTAATAAAGATGTGCATAATCCTGCAAAGATTTAATCTCCCCTCTTTTTCGCATCTTTGTTTGCGCTCAAGAAGACGATAATTGGCCAGCCAGGCCCCAATCTACTTCCCGCTTTTGCTCGGCTTCACACCACAGCTCATTTGCACAGGTACGTTTCTCCACTGCCCAGCAGTGACGTCTACTCTGCTCCCACTGAAGCTCTGTTTCTCCGGCTAATTTTCTATACTGCCCCAGCAGTGACGTCTCCTCTGCTCCCACTGAAGCTCTGTTTCTCTGGCTAATTTTCTCCACCGCCCCAGCAGTGACGTCTCCTCTGCTCCCACAGGAGCTCTGTTTCTCTGACTAATTTTTCTACTCTGCCCCACCAGTGATGTCTACTCTGCTCCCACAGGAGCTCCGTTTCTCTGGCTAATCTTTTCTACTCTGCCCCAGCAGTGACGTCTACTCTGCTCCCACAGGAGCCGTGTTTCTTTCGGCTAATTTTTCTACTCTGCCCCAGCAGTGATGTCTCATCTGCTCCCACTGAAGCTCTGTTTCTCCGGCTAATTTTCTATACTGCCCCAGCAGTGACGTCTCCTCTGCTCCCACTGGAGCTCTGTTTCTCTGGCTAATTTTCTATACTGCCCCAGCAGTGACGTCTCCTCTGCTCCCACAGGAGCTCTGTTTCTCTGACTAATTTTTCTACTCTGCCCCAGCATTGATGTCTACTCTGCTCCCACAGGAGCTCCGTTTCTCTGGCCAATCTTTTATACTCTGCCCCAGCAGTGACGTCTACTCTGCTCCCACAGGAGCCGTGTTTCTTTCAGCTAATTTTCTACTCTGCCCCAGCAGTGATGTCTCATCTGCTCCCACTGAAGCTCTGTTTCTCTGGCTAATTTTTCTACTCTGCCCCAGCAGTGACGTCTCCTCTGCTCCTACAGGAGCTCTGTTTCTCTGAATAATTCTCATATGAGCTCTGTTTCTCTGGCTATTTTTCTACACTGACACAGCAGTGATGTCTACTCTGCTCCCACTGTAGCTCTCTTACTCTGGCTTATTTTCTACACTGCTATAACAGTGACGTCCCCTCTGCTCCCACTGGAGCTCTGTTTCTCTGGCTAACTTTCTACACTGCCACAGCAGTGTCGTCTCCTCTGCTCCATCTGAAACTCTTTTCTCTGGCTATTTTTCTTCACCGTCACAGCAATGATGTCTACTCTGCTCCCACAGGAGCTCCGTTTCTCTGGCTAATTTACTACACCGCCACAGCAGTGACGTCTCCTCTGCTCCCACAGATGCTCTGTTTCTCTGGATAATTTTCTACACTGCTCAAGCAGTGACGTCTTCTCTGCTCCTGCAGGAGCTCTGTTCCTCTGGCTTATTTTCTACACTGCTATAACAATGATGTTTTCTCTCCAGTACATCACCATTTAGAATTATTATTCCTGCTAAAACCCTTAATTGATTATTTCCTCTGTCCAGCAAGCTTGGTCTCCAAGCTAACGTCGCAAGCATCAAAAGTTATCCTCCAAGCGGTATCTCCCAGGACCCTTCAATCCTATATTACCGCTTGGAGGTAACATAAAGAAAGGAAACGATAAAAAATGTCTCTTATAACTTGCCTTCCCCCGATTTTTCTCTTTCCAATCATATCTTTTATCTCCTATTAAAGGTTATTTGAGTGGCAATCCAGTTTTGCCCATAAACTGTCGTACGGCACTACTTCTGTGGAGTTAAACAATTCACAAACCCTGATTTAAGGGATCCAAAGATCCCAGCCCACCCGCCCCTGACTCCGGACACCCCATAACACTGGAAATTCTCATTAAATGTATTCGGCTTTCCGCATAAGCTACCAGCCCTTCAGTTCCACTCACACACTCAATGCCACGTTTAAATTACCCTTTTTCGTTTTTCTTAGACACTCAAAAAACCGCCATCACTTTATGAGCAGAGTGAGTGCTTTCCCAGAGGAGCCCTTACATTTTTCTCCTTCATCCAGCGAGCAGTTGGTCTCACAGCGGATGCAGTGTGAGAAAAATATCCTGGGCAAGCACTCAATTTTTCCACTTTTCAGTTTTCCTTCTTCCATCCAGCGAGCATCGGTCTCACAGCGGATGGAGTGAGAGCTTTCCCAGTAGAGCACTTATATTTTCTCTTTCATCCAGCGAGCAGTTGGTCTCACAGCGGACGGATATGAGAAAATTTCCTGGGCAAACACTCATTTTCCCCTCTTGTCAGGTTTCCTCTTTCCGTCCAGCGAGCATTAGTCTCACAGCGGACGGAGTGAGAGCTTTCCCAGTAGAGCACTTAAAATTTTCTCTTTCATCCAGCGAGCAGCTGGTCTCACAGCGGATGGAATACGAGAAATCTCCTGGGCAAACACTCATTTTTCCCCTCTTGTCAGGTTTCCTCTTTCCGTCCAGCGAGCATTGGTCTCACAGCGGACGGAGTGAGAGCTTTCCCAGTAGAGCACTTAAATTTTCTCTCTTTTCATCCGGTGAGCATTCGGTCTCACCGTGGACGAGAATACGAGAAAATCTCCTGGATAAGCACTCATTTTCCTTTTTCAGGTTTCCTCTTTCCGTCCAGCGAGCATTGGTCTCACATCGGACGGAGCGAGAAAGTTCCAGGTAGAGCACTCACGTTTTCTCTTTCATTTCAGCGAATATTTGGTCTTACAGTGGATGCAGCGCGAAAAACCTCCTGGACAAGTATACAACAACCACACCTTGTTCGCAGTCAACAAGGGCCATCAGTCCAGGCAGTGAGCCAACATCACGGGCCTCCCTGACCAAGCATCCAGGCCCCTTCTCGAGATGCCAGCCTGCCATTTCTTGGCACTCTTGGGGGGTCTTTAGTCCGGCGGCTGTCCTCTGCTCTTTAGCCTTTTGGGGGGAGTACTCTGGGTTCGGGCAGAATTCCGAGCACGGAGCCCTCCCTCCGGACAGCACGCCAAATACGCATTGAATCTTACTCACTCAAAATTATATGTAAGTGTGAACTCGTGAAATGAAGTTTTGTTAATAACTAAGTTCGGGAGGAGCACGTTCAGATAATTAACACGAGTGGACGGCAATCAGCAACCAATGATAAGAGGGTATATATAGACTCAGCAGTCTTACCTCGATCCATTGGCAGTTTGCAGCATCCCTCCTCCACCCCTTCTCCACACTCCTAGTCCTGCACACTCCTCTTTCTAAAAAATCACTTGCATACGGGGGGAGTACTCTGGGTTCGGGCAGAATTCCGAGCACGGAGCCCTCCCTCCGGACAGCACGCCAAATACGCATTGAATCTTACTCACTCAAAATTATATGTAAGTGTGAACTCGTGAAACATATTATAACAACATATTTTATACACATTACCTGCACAATGGAGATATAAATGTGGAAATAGGGGTTTCACTTTATGGAGAAAGAATCAGTTCTACATAAAACACAAGACAATGCACAGATTAATTACGATTGTGCCACGCATTACAAAGTCAAAATAACTCGATATAAAATGACACACTCGACGCCAAACACATATCAAAAGTTACCAAACAAGTTCATTGCAAGATCGATTCACATTGAAGTAGTTTTTTTATGCGTTTTGGACACTTTTAACTGATAATTCTCCGACTGCTCGAAAAGTGCAACTTACCCACAGCGTGTCTCATTATCTCTGCTGTGGGCGGTCCCTATTCCGTACACTAAATGCCATCACGCATCAGCCAGATGGCGCTGTCCCCATTTATGCAGAAATTTAACATTTTACACTCCGTTACATGCACCCCCCTTAAATTATGCTAAACTGGGGAAGCGCCTGAACAATAGAATACAATACAAGAACCAGAAAAAGAGAAACGATGTGAACCTCCTTGACACATTGCAGCGTACAGATCAATTACAAAATTCCTCCAAAGGAGGTATGCAAGTATGGACTGGTACCAAAATCCAGACTTAACATAGACTAAAGAGATGCCCTAAACACCTTTCTTCACACGCACAAGTCAAGGATTTAAATGATTTCTTAAGAGAGAAAAAAAAATATCCACTCAAAACAAAGTCCGACTCATAAGTTACCCATGAAAAAGGCTTTTCACAACATCAAAAAGAGAAATCACTGGGGATGATGAATCATGCACAAACTGACTATTCATCTCGTAGATCAATCTTTGTGGAGGTTTAATGGTCCTACCGGCCCTAGTACGGACTGTGCCTGTATGAGAGTGTTTTGGTTGATTGCAAATTACAGGGTGAACTGTATCCTGAACAGGGCTATTGACTACATGTGAAGGTGGAAAAACTGGCGTTGTCAAGGAGTGCTGAGAGGAACACTGATCTAACTCATCGTCAGTAGGTGGACCTTCTAACAAATGTGGAACGTCACAGTCCACTTCAATGTGTACAGAGCGGTTACAGATATCAGAGTCTGCCTTTGAATTGGAATTCTGTACATCCAAAGAACACTGAACTCTGGACAAAGCAACTGAGTCACTGTCATTATCAGGGCAATCGTGCTGATCAGACTGCATAACCCATTGAGCCGTTCTTGCATCACTCTCAGGAAGATCAGGTAAGTTTGCAGTCGAATCACTTGAATGTGACTTAGATGGTAAATCGACCCCATCTTTGTACAGAAAGTTAACAGGGAGTAAGAGATTACGATGCACAATCTTTTCTCTTCCTGTTTCAGTGTCTTTTATCCGATAGACATTAATGGGCGATCTCACTGACATCACTTCGTAGAGGTTGGACTCCCATTTGTCTGCAATTTTCCGTTTTCCACGCTCACCGCGATTTGCCAGAAGAACTCTGTCGCCCATGGTCAAAGGTGATCCCCTAACTTTGCGATTGTAGATCCTTGCATGACGGGTTTTGCTCAGTGAACTGTGCTTCTGTGCAATTTTTGCAGCTTCACCAAGGTCACATTTAAGCTTGGATACGAAATCTGAATACTTAACAACAGCATCATCCCTCAGAACATTTTGGAACATCACATCAATTGGAAGACGCGGAACTCTCCCGAACATCAGATAGAAAGGCGCAAAGCCTGTGGTCTCGGTGAACAGTGCAGTTATAACAGAATGTCAACATCTGCAAAGACTGTGGCCACTTGGCTTTGGACTGGGGAGGTAAGGCTCTTATCATGTTCCCTAAAGTTCTGTTGAAGCGTTCAGTGATCCCGTTTCCCATTGGGTGGTAAGGAGTGGTGTGTGATTTATTGACACCCGCCATCTTCAGCAACTCCTTCATCAGTTTGCTCTCAAAACTTGGACCTTGATCTGAATGCACACGCCTAGGGAATCCATAAATGCAGAAGAGACCATTCCATAAATGATGGGCAACCTGCTTTGCAGACTGGTTCTTACAGGGAAAGGCGTAGGCTAATTTTGTGAAATGGTCCGTTGCTACCAGGACATCCACACTCTTTTCACCCTGCTCTGCTGTCCAAAAATCAATGCAGATGAGTTCCATCGGCTCAGTGGTGCATATGTTCTCAAGGGGAGCACGATCTTTCGGTTCAGGTGTCTTGCCAACAATACATCGCATGCAGTTCCTCACATAATTCACTACGTCGCGTTCCATACCCGTCCAAAAGAAACCGTTGTCTGGCCAATGAGAGAGTTCTGGAGCGCCCCTGATGACCAGCCACATCATGCAGACCATGAAGAACCTGTTGTTTTAAAGCATCTGGGACAACGAATAGATACAACTTCTTGTTCATTTGATTGTCTCTTTTTACTTTAAAAAGCATTCCATCTCTGATGATAAGTTTAGTCCAATGCTTAAGAAGCCGCAGGACAGAACGAGGCTCACTAGCACGTTCACACTTATCAGGACGTCTGTGTCTCTGAACATAAAAGAGTGCTCTACTCACAGCGGTGTCCTGTTCTTGTGCGGCTGAAAGTGTGCTCACGTTGAGTGCAGGAGTCTGGTCCACATCGAGGAATTGCTGGATGGATTCCACACCCATGAATTGTCCTACACCACCAGGAGAATGAGCGTCAAAAACTGCAGCTACATCCTGCGAGCTCAAAGCATTAGCAGACATCTGATATCTACTGCCAACTTCAGCAGCACTAGAGGAATCACCAGCAGGATTCAGTACTTGACAGTTGGTGGTAAGTCGGAAGGAATCTTGGACGACTTGATCTACAACTCCATCAACCTGGTTGAGCAAAGACTGGTATGGTTCAGTCACGAGTCGATGACTCACACTGGATTGGACAAAAGGTTCCCTGCTCAACGCGTCTGCAACTATGTTTTTAGAACCGGGGTACATATTTCAGGTCGAAGCTGAAGGAGGCTAGCTTAGCAACCCAGCGTTGCTCGCAAGCATCGAGTCTGGGCTTGGTGAGTATGTAGGTGAGGGGATTATTATCCGTCCAAGCTGTAAAATGACGGCCCTTCAACCAATAATGGAACTTGTCGCATATCGCCCACTTAAGTGCGAGGAACTCTAGCCTGTGAGCTGGGTAATTCATCTGAGAACGTGACAGTGTCTTTGCTAGCAAATGCCACCGGCCTGGCCATAGTACTACCTTCTGGGATCTGTGAAAGAA